TGTTCACATAACATAATTTAAATAGTGGACACACTACTAACTGTACTTAATAAAGTCAGAAAAATACTGGACTGAACTGTGTAGAGTCATATATAGTAACATACAGGGCCGCCGAGATGGGGGGGGGGCAAATTGCCCCGGGTTCGGGGGGCCCTAGAAATTTTTTGTTGGGTCCCAGTCATTTTTTTGGGTGAAATATTTCCGTGCAAAGGGCAAGATATTGGGGTTTTTGGGCAAAGTACAGAAATTTGGTATGAAAAATTGAGGTAAAGTGCCTGGAAAGCAATTACAACGTACTCATTCGGAAAATTTTTTGCCCTAAAAGAGTTGTATACAGGGGGGGAGGGGGTTGTTGTCCGAAAAATTTTTTCCAAAAAAATATTTGAAATAGGAGCCCCTAAAAAAAATTTGCCCCGGGCCCCCACCAAGCTCTCGGCAACTCTGGTAACAAAGAATTCATTCTTCATGTAGTTGAATTAATGGCCTGAAAAACAAAGTTAAATATGAACAAATAACCCAAATTTTGTTTAAGTCTGCAGCCATAGATATCTGCAAGTCATGTTTGAGAATGCGAAAGCTTTTAATTCTTTGGATAGCCCTCTCAACATGTATCCTGTGTTTAGCAATTCTCCTAGTTTTAATCTCATCCTCTTTTGAAAATTGTGCTTGCTCACCAAGGAAGGGGGGTATGTTCAACGACACGCCTGGTGGTAAATCATTCTCAATTTCAAAGCCTCTATCAGCCATCACTTCATCACCTGGTTCCAATAATTTCAAAATTCCACAGTCATTTGTCAGTTGTTTATCAGATGTATTACCAGCATAAAGTTCTGAAACAAAAGTTAAGTATCCTCTTGGGGCAATGCCAATCAAGCCTTTACCAGTGTTATGGTTTTTGTAGGTTGAAAAGGTAGCACTTTGGCTTCTTGGTTGAGAAGGTGTTTCAATGAATAACTCTGTGCAGTCGATTATGACCCTTGTGTTTGGATAACTCTCCTTAAAACTTGGTGGTGAGGTTTCTCTCACATAACTTTGAGAAGGCCAAATGGGTATGGACCGTAAACGTCTGTATAAGAAATCAAGCCAGGTAACCCAAATTCTCGACACATGGGATTCGGATATGTTAAACCTGTTGGCTAAGTCCCTCTCAAGCAAACCCAATCTAAACCTTACAAGGCACAAGAATAACTCTTCCTCTGGTGATAATGTCCTCCTGGGTCCACATTTTTCTCGATTTTCTGTTGGCTTTGTAGTATTCCAAGATCCAATATATTGTAACCTTTCACATGCAGGGCAAAGATAGTCATAAAATGCCTTAAATGTACTGTAATTAGAAAAGCCAGTATAAAACTCGATATCGCTATCATTATTTTTAATGTGGTATATAGAAAAACTGCACTGTTCGACTTTTCCCTTCAAATCGGATATCTTTTCTTGTTGTTCTTGATCTTTCTGCTGAAGGTTTTCAACCAGCTCTTCAAGTTCTAAAATTCTGTCCTCACTAGTGGGCTCATCTTCTATCTCAGGACTCTCTTCAATTGTGTTGTCTCTATTTCTGCATTTAGATGTTGTTCTGGGTTTCGGTTGGGTGGGCAGTAATAATTTTTGCACTATAGTTGGAACATTGTGAAGACATGTCTTCTTGCCACCCACAAAATGCTTTGAACAAACTCTGTGATGGTTGTTTGGTGTAAAATTAGCTCGTCCGATCCAATGCAACCACATCTTTCTGAGCTTTTTGTCAGTTGGAATTTGGTAATATGAGAGTTCTGGATTTCTTTTAGTGTTGCTACTACATGTTGGAATACAGCAAGTTGTTCCACCTCCTTTATATTTTCTTTTAGAACATGCATTTTCTGTGTTGCTTTTATCTGCCTCCGATGAAGTACCCGGCTCAATATCCATCAAAAAATTTATATTATTTAAACCTATACCTTAATTATTTATTTCACTATTTACAAATTTAATCCTTAGGGCCTGCCTGAAGATTAAAATACCTAAATTTACTATAAATAACTAAATTTTAAAAATTGACTATATTATATTCTACTACCTTAAATGCAAATTTAAAACGGTTTTTCCTACGTTAATATAACTACGAATTTAATATATTTTAAGCCTAATATTTTAATACTAAAAACCTACTTGTTTATTTTGACAGGAAATAAACCGACCACAACAAAGGAAGCAGAAAAATAAGCGACAACAGAGGCAAAATGATTTCTCTTTGGCGTTTTTACAAAGTAACGGAGCCGGGGCAGAAAAAACCGGTTTGAACTGCTTTTAGTTCGCGCCAAAACATTTTAAGGTCTCTTTAAAACATTGTGTTTGAGCGCCATGCTGATCGAACGATCGACAGACATTTTGTCATGAATTAGTCGATTTCAACAAGCGAAAAAATCGGCAGGAAACACTCGATCGTTGTCAAAATACGAGATATACATCAAGAAACAACACACACAAATTTGTAGGTTAAAATGGTGAGCTGTCCGATGTTTACTAAGCGCGCTCACCTTAAAACGTTGGGAAGGCCCTTCCTCCTGGAACGTATTTATGAGCACACTGTTCGCTCCTCAGTTCTTCTACAGGAATTTTCTCGTCCATTTTCGGTTCGATTTCGCTGTACTTGAGTCAAAACAAACTTTATAGCATTACAAAGTTCTCCCTTGTTTTAAAATTTTCAAACGTTACGAAAAAAGTGTTAAAAATAAACTATATTTCTCACATGCAAAATGCTCGCTCCACGGCGGCCATTTCGCGCGCAAGTGAAGGTTACCATTTTTCCCATGATGCTTTGGTAACATGCAAGTTGCCTATTGTAAAAGTTTGATGCTTTTAACCTCAACGGGAACTACTGATCAATAATTAGTTACACATATCCGCCTCACTACTGGGTACGAGGCTGTACAGGCAACCAATCAAAATCGCCTATTTCAGAGTAATTAACTATAGTATTTACCTACAAAATAGTGATCAGTTAAAACGTAGTTAATAATTAACAAATATAAAACAATTTCCGTGTTGATATACAGTTATATCAACACGAGTGGAAATTGGGAAAACGAGAAATTGTGTGGAAACACGACGCCCGAAGGGCGGAGTGTTTTCATACAATTTCGAGTTTTCCCAACTTCCACGAGTGTTGATATAACTATATATCAATACGGAAAAAAGTTTTATATTTGTTTTATAATATAGCAATGTCAAAAGCCCGAAGAATAAGAAAAATTTCCGTGTTTACAAGCGGCGGAAAATCTCCCGTGTTGACATGGAGTTATATCAACACGGCTCTTAGCCAATCAGCGTTCAGAATTTACAAATGCTATATTATAAAGAGTTTTATACAACCGGTCCCAGCTTGCCAGCCAGCACTTTCTCTTCACTTTGCTCACAACTCAATATAAAAACAATTAAAAAACAATATAAAAACCTCACAGAGCCGGACATTAGATTTGGCACATGCAGAATATTCAATCTGTTTTGGGGCGATTAATTGGGTATATATAATCTCCTGTTATAGCTGTGTATCCACGAAAAACCTGGCTGTTAGCCCGGCATGCACGATCGCTTCCAACCTGTCAGTCCCGCACTTCCCCCTCATTAATTCAAACTGAGCCAAATTACAAAAATAGGTGAGCTTGGCGTACATGTATCTGCGAGAAAGCCGCCATATTTGTTTTACTGCCTATTGGCAGGCGCACAGCCCTAATAGACCTTTCCCCTTTTAAGTGAAATTTTGATCTAGACAAGTCTGGAGAAAAATTTCATCACGGCTTGAAAGAGCTTACCAAAATTAGTAATATTCCGAAGTTTCGTTGCAAAATGTTGTAAAATGTGGATGATATAGCTTTGCGAAGTTTGCCGTTTTTCAGTCATTTTGCATTACAAACGGGAAATTGATAATCAGATTACCAAATTGATTATCAATTTCCCGTTTGTAATACAAAATGACTAAAAAACGGCAAACTTCGCAAGGCTATATTATCCGCATTTTACAACATTTTGCAACGAAACTTCGGAATATTACTAATTTTGGTATGCTCTTTCAAGCTGTGATGAAATTTTTGTCCAGGCTAGTCTAGATCAAAATTTCACTTAAAAGGGGAAAGGTCTATTAGTTTATTTATTTATTTATTTTGCCACAATATATATATATATATATATATATATATATATATATATATATATATATATATATATATATATATATATATATATATATATATATATATATATATATATATATATATATATATACACACACTTAAGAACTAAACAAGACAGAAAACAACTAGTCAATGAATACTTCGTGGCCGGGTACCCACAACAGCGTGTGAAGTCAATTACTGTGGTCCCGATAAGTGAGAGAATACATGCACTAACTACAACATGACGTGGAGATCCTAAGTGTGCGTGCTGAATTGCATTTCAGACACACAGATTTCCATGTCCTTGGATCATCCGAATCGAAAAGTGTTTGAGATGCCGTCAAATAATATTCTTTAAGCAAACTTCTAAAGCGTAATAAAGATGTATCCATGCGGCGCATTTCGTCAGGTAGGTTGTTCCAAACTCTGCACGTGCGTGAGAAGAATGATCGTTGAAAAGTTATGGTTTTACATCTTTTAGGATGAAAGTAGAGTAGACTAGGATCGGAAGTATTTCGGGTTGATCTTGTGGGAATATGTTGAGTTGGCTTGACTTCAGAGTTCATGGTGGTAATATTGTGAACAATTTTGAAGAAAAATACCAGATCAAGGAATTCATGCCAGTAGGAGATAGGAAGTAGATGGAGTGAGCTCAAACGTTGTTTATAGGTTATATCAGTTTTAAAAGGTAGGTTTAGGATGACTTTAGTAGCACGACGCTGGACCCTTTCGACACGTCTGATAAGGTCAATTGATTGTGGGGACCAAACCTGAGTGGCATACCCGAGATGTGGACGAACAATGGCAAGGTATAGAGTACGGCGAACGTTAACGTCATTAATGTTACTCACAGAGCGGCGAACACAGCCAAGAGATTTGTTGGCTGCTGAGGTTTGTGCAACTACCTGGGACTTCCATGACAAAGTGTTGGTTACCCGTACTCCAAGGTCACGTTCTTCGTCGAGTCTTCCAATGGGCTTACCATTTACAGCATACTCATGGATTAAAGGTGATCTTTTCCGAGTAACTGTCTGACAATTTGTTTTAAGTTCGTTGAAGTTTAACCCTGATGATGTTGACCATGTGCTAAGATTATTTAAATCGTTTTGCAGTAAGTTCGCGTCCGTTTGGTTGTTAATAGTTTTAAATAGTTTAGTATCATCAGCAAAACATGAAACGGAAAAAGCGATGACAGTATCATGTATATCATTAACGTAGAGAAGGAATAGTACAGGTCCAAGAATAGAACCTTGAGGTACGCCTGAAGTAACTCCGAGGGAAGATGAAGTACCGCCAGGAACAGTAACACGTTGTTTCCGTCCTGATAGATAAGAAGAGAACCAAGAATGGAGGTTTCCCCTAATATTAATATTTTGTAGTTTGTCCAAAAGTACATCATGTCGAACTCTGTCAAATGCTTTGCTCATGTCCAAGTAAATTATGTCTGTCTGTTTTCCGTTGTCGAGTTGTTGGCCAATGCACTCCAAGACCTGTACTAACTGCGTTGTGCATGATCGACCAGGTATAAAACCGTGCTGATTATCACTAACATATTGAAGCAAATGGTCTCTTGTTTTGACTAGTACGCAACGTTCGAGAACTTTTGATATATTTGACAAAAGAGAGATAGGTCGATAGTTTGAAACATGATCACGCTTCCCCTTTTTAAACACTGGTACGATGTTGCTGATCTTCCAGTCATCAGGAAGGGAACCAGATCGTAAAGAGAGATTGAACAGTAGGCACAGGGATGGGGCTATTTGTTCGGCGGTTTCTTTCAATATCTTGTTAGAAATACCATCAGGCCCGGTAGCTTTATGTTCATTTAAAGAATGTAGTAAGGGGAGAATATCATCTACGGTGAGTTGACCTAAGTGTTTAACGCGCACACAACTCGATAGCATCAGAGAGTAGATACATACAGAGGTGTAACTGGCCGTCGTAAACACTGTGGAAACGTATGTTTTTATGTATTCACCTTTTTTTCAGGCGACCGGGCAAAAAATGATCAACTGCGCGTACTCGGCAAGTTCCGCGAGTAGTTAAAGCGAACCGCCATGTAATGGGATGCATGCATCTAGTAACTTGCCGAGCATGCGCACAAAAAAGTGGGTATACTAGTTATAACTCTGATAGCATATGCATGCAGTATCAAGGCGCTATGCGCAAATACAAAAACAAATAAGCCTCCACAGAGGAGAAAGACCGTCAGTAAGCTTTCACAATTTTGCCATTAAAGCTATAGTTCAAGAAATATTACCGAAATCTATAGAATATATGTCTTCTCCGGAAGTTGAAAAGACAGTCAGAAGCCACTAGAAACGATCTTGTTTTATGACATCACGTGGTAAAGAAATGCAGCGCGGAACTTGTATGTTATTTTACTTATTAGTAAGCCAGGCCCAAGCACAAAACATGCTTTCGAGCAAAGGGGGAACCTTTGTTCGTGGGAAGGCACTGGGAAAAGAATTGCAAACTAAATAAAGTTACTAATATCTAAAACATAACATACAAGTTCCACGCTGCATTCCTTCACCGTGACGTCACAAAACATGAAGGTATCTACTGGCTGCAGACTGTCTTTTCAACTTGCGGAAAAAACACTTTACTGATTTCGGTAATAATAAAAAGTTATCTAACGCGCTTAATAATATACATAAATATATTACTCGACTGTGATTGGTTGATTTCAGTGCAGTTAATCCCAAACAGCAGTGCAATTTTCTGTAATCACAGTGCAATTTTCTGTAATCACAGTGCAATTTTTTGTAATGACAGTGCAATTTTCTGTAATCACAGTGCAAGAATCTGTAACAAACTAATCTGATTAGTGGAAAAACAATGTGATGATTAAATCAACCAAGCAGTTTAAAGCAATTAGTTTAAAGAAGTAAACGGTCATAGATTGCTTCAAAACAAAACAAACATGGCGCCGCGCTACACAAAGTAAAAGTTGCCTTCGCGTGGAAAATATGGCTTTTATCTTTATTTTTAAATGGAAAAGCATTTATCTTAAAAGACTAACAAAAGTTACATAGTTGAGTGGAATTTTCAAGCTGTTAGCGTTGTATAATGTGATATAACAAAGCCAGGAAAACTTTGCCAGTGGAATGTTCGCTATAAACGCGTATAAAGTTAAAACTACAATTGTCTCGAAAATTTTTATGTAAATTATTAATAAGTAATAGCATGGTTTCTCGTGAAATTTGGATAAACATGCACTCGTGAGTTTTTCAAAGACCTCAAATAGCACTCATCCTTCGGACTCGTGCTATTTTGAGGGCTTTGAAAAACTCACTCGTGCATGTTATATCCAAATTTATACGTTTAAACAGTATGATGAACTTACTGGCACGTCACAACATGTAGAAAATCATCCCAGCCATCATGCCAATCAACACCTTTTGGATATGTTTCAAGCCCAGTTGGAAGAGTTCTTCGCACACGACTATCAAGATAGCAACCTTTCTTCATCAGTTTGATGACATTACAAGACGTTAAACCGGAACCATTTCCAGGTGCTGGAAAAAGTAATTTAACATAATCTGTATATCCTGCACTTTTATAGCGACTGGTAAATTTTTATTGTCTAACACAACAAGCTATATATTTGTATTTAAAGAGGCTGTCAAGTCCGTTCTGCTCATGCGCGTGTTTTGAGTTTTCATTTTTTGTATCAAACAATATATAATTAAATTAAATTATCCGTTGTTTAAAACAAAAAATGTACACAGATCGGAATTTTAATTATATTATCTATTGTGTGAAACAAAAAATGCAAACAAAACACGCGCATGCAGAGGCGTAGCCAGGATCTTTGATCGGGGGGGGGGCAGCAAAAGCCCAGGTGGGGCCAAGCCGCCAGTGACTCGAGACGCCAAGGGCGTCAATCCATCCCAAAGAGTGGGGGGGGGGGAGGACGGACTAGTACTCCAAATTAGGAAGGTCTGGTGGTATGCTACCCGAAATTGTTTTATTTTTGGTACACTGAAATGGCATTTCCAGCGTTTTGGAGGCACTTGTAAAGTTATAGTACAATGTGCTGATCTTAAATCCATTTTTAACCATGTGAGAAATCCGCTAAAAAACAATGTTGTGAAAGTGGGATAAAGCACGTCAAAGTTGTTAATTAGTTATATTTATTTAGTTGTTAGTTATTCATTTAGTTAGATTGCAATGCTATGTCTACAACTTTTATAATTGGGATCAGGAGAGAAACTACAAAAATGGAATCTTTTTGCTTAATATTTTACTATATTTGAACTTTTGAAAATAGTGAAATAAAACGATGTAGTTCTAAATCTAAATTTAGTCGTTAAATTAGTAAATTACGATTATGTCGATTAGCTAAATAATTGCTGTATAATAGTTTAAAATATATTTTCACCTTCTTTACTGTAAATGTACATATATAGTATCTTCCACTTTGAATATATATAATTAAATTTATATGCATGTTAATGTTTTATTTTATAATTGTTATATACTTTTATCCTTGTTCAATGTAATAATTCGAACTGACTATTTATAAGAATGAAATGATGTAAGTATAGGGGCCCAAACAAAAACAAGCAAAACGAATTATTGTCTCATTTACTGCAGCTTGTCAGTTAGAACAGGAAGTGAATACGACCAATAGTGCCTTTATGTAAATGCTTGTAAATTACATGAACATGTATCAATTTGAATTCAATTTGAATAATTTTTAGCATTCACATAACATATGCGATGTCAGTATTTGCTCCTAGCGGCTACGAAAAGGTCATACGCTGTGCTTCATCATATTAAATGTCTTCGTTCCAACCAAAATTCTGGATGAATAGCATAGCAGGCATTAGGTTTTTAGTTTACCAAGAAACAAAAAATTTCATTAAACATGTTAAAAAGTGGGGTGGGGATAATTAGATATTCGTCCTCCCCACCCCAAAACTGGGGGGACGAGTCCCCCCCCCCATCCCCCCAGGATTGACGCCCATGCGAGACGCAAAGTTCGCGCAATACATTCTGTGCAGTGCTGGGTAAAATTTATTGTCGATACATGTGATTTTTCACCGAACCCGCGTTAAAAATTCACTGGTAAAAAACAGATTAGTCTAAACTTCATCTAACCCTAATTTAATACATATTGAAATAATTAGGGTTAGAAAAGGTATGTGTTTCAAGCTGTGTGCCGCAAATAAGCGAACAAGATTTTAGGTTTCACACTGATGAGCAGCAAAGCATATATTCTACAGAATTTTTGCATTATTGACAGCATGAAGCTATATAATCAAGGATTCCCTTTTTATACAATACATTTTATCAGGGGGGCCTAAAATTTTGCCAGGGGGGGGCCTCCGTCCCCAGCCCTGGCTATGCCTCTGCGCGCATGAGCAGAACGGTCTTGACAGCCTCTTTAAGTGTAGCTCAAATTTTGTGCTCTAATTTTTTTTGCGAATGGCAGACCGTCAAAAAACATGTGTAGTTTTGGCAGGTGCTTGCACTTTGATTAATATATCACTATTGTTTTAAACCCCACTTTTCTTCATTTAAATCACCTGTCAAATTATTTTTTAACAAATTAATTTTCGTGTACCTTAGCATATATAACTTGGTTCATAATGAAATATACTCTGATCTGATCAAGGGAGCACGCCAGAACTAATTGTGTAAATTTATACTAACCTTTTAATTAAATATTTTCATCGGGCGTTATTTTGAATGTTGAAAGCGGTATATATTATTAGCTTATCGCAGGCGCGATAATTTATGTTCATCTTTTACACTAGAAAATACATGCATGCAGAAACCCTCGCCTTGCTGACAAAACCGTTGTATTTTAGTAGTTGTCATGGTAACACGATAATTTTGTAAGAATATTCTTACAAATGAAAATCGCCTAAAAATATCACTTTTAATTACAAAATTATCAATTTCCCAACATATATATGTTAGGTATGTAATTATACGTAATACAAGCTTCAATTTAAGGTAAAATTCAACCACAAACAATTCACAAAACGTTTTAAAGTGTTCTTTATAAAACTAAACTGCCTTTAACTATTAAATGGCTTTATCGATAAACTTTGAGTTTGCAATAAAATTATTTCAATTAATTCTCGCTTGCAAATAACTTTGGTCTTTGCTTTATTTTTTATTTAAAATATTCAATATAATAAAAAAGGGAATCAATATTAAAGTTACACTGAAATTTATATATGCTGTCTTGTTTAGTTGTTTCATATACGCAAAGGCCGTCGGGTTTTAAAGCCATTATAAAATCAATATTTAAAACAAACTTACCTTCGTTAACGTCGGCTCCCTTCTTTTAGCTGATTCTTTCGCCCTTTCTTTCTTGAAATTTACAAAATCTTGCAGAAATACGAGCAAAAATGAAATATATTTGCAAGAAATTTATCAATCATCAAATCAAGAAATGTTTGCTATTTCGCTGTCGTCATGTAGTCGTTATAATGCAAACTTTAAATTGGACCAATCAGTGTCCGTTATTCATGACAATCTGCCATATTTTTGAGATCAGTGAGGATGACCACCCATCGTTGGTGACCGACGCCCGCGCTCATTGATGAACTTTAGACTTCGCTAATGCCTCTAATGCTTTCGTTTCCCCGGGTGTAAATAGCCGGGGGGAATTAGTACCCTCGCACGGCGCTTCGCGCCGCCGGCTCGGGGATTAACTTGCGTTACACGATGATACTGCGAAGGGCGACCGAGAAAGATCCGAAATTTAAAATACGGCGGGGGAAAAATAAAAATAAAGAGGGGAGTGAAACAGCCGAACACTTATCCACTGATGCTGGTTGACTGTTGCTAGGAACTTTTGATGTTGCTAGGAACAAACCGGAAACAAAATGAGACCTACTATTACGGGAACCACTGAGTATTTTACAATGTAATACTAGAAATACATGCATGCAATAACCCCTCGCCTGTTTTCAAAAGATGTATACTCAGTGCCGTTGCGAGCACTTCGTCTGAGGGTGTGTGTGGGATTAGATAGAGGGGGGGGGGGGGGGGGGGGGG